ATATCAATATCCTCACCCACATCCCCATCTTTCATAGCTTCCCTAACGACTTGGATAAGTTTCCCTGCCAGTTGATGCAACATCAATATCTGGTTTTGTTCGATCACTTCCTGATGAGCTTCTGGTATTTCGTAACGGGCTTCTGGTACTTCGTGTCGGGCTTCTGGTACTTCATGTCAGGCTTCTGGTACTTTGTGTCGGTGTAACGATGGCCGCGGCGCTGGGCTCGAAACCAGGCAATCCAATACCTACGTTCATACCATTCCCCGACCTCCCTTGACCTTCCGAAGGCCGCGCACACTTGTCCGAACCTTCCGCAGGCAGTTTTTCGTGTTCCGAGACCCGTCCGAACCTCGCAAGTTACCATACCATGTCCTATCCTCATCCTTTTGACTTCGCTGGTGCGTTTTCCTTTATTCTGACTATATGTTGACTACGTCTTAGTACTACATGGATAACAATCCCATCAGCATCCTGTCGGGAGCCTCCGAATACGTATAAGCAGCACACATTGCGGCTTATTACATGTATACTTGTATTCTTGCACGCCTCACAGCTTATTACATAGGTTTGGACTTGCTTATCTCGCTACTAGTTTCGCCTACAGATTCCAGCCTCTCACGGAAGTAGGATATAATCTCACTTGCTGGCTACTGATAGGGCACTTCACTTCCCGTACTTCGAGTAGTAATTAGTAGAGTCACCTTGGTATAATCGTAAACTGCGCAATTGATCCTAGTTCATTCGGAATGATTGTCTGGCTAAACTGCTGCCCAGTTCGCACTTCGTTTATCTTCGAGCCCCGATAGATTAGCATTGTTCCGGACTTTGGACATTGTGCAAAAGTCTTATACTGTTATTTGACACACCGACATACCGACACATCGACACACCGACATATATAGACCTTCAGACAGCTTTTGCAAGCCTCGGAAGGCATCACGCTACTTCAGACAACACTTTCGCAGCCTCAGACGACCTTCGGTCGCATCGGACAAGTTTCTTGGTACTTCGGAAGTAGTCTCGGAACTACGGACAAGCATTGAAGAGGTTTTCTTCCAATATATTGTCTACTCTCTAACTGTGTAAGACTTCCCTTGCATTATCAAGGTAGTTTTTAGGTCGTCTCTTGGGACGAAGCATACTCGCATCCCTCAGGACTAGGGACTCACATTCAGTGGAGCCCAGACCAGATCTACTCTTTACATCGGGCTTCAGGTACTTCATTGAATACCTTAGCACCGCGAAAGAAGCTTTATCCAAAAAGGGGAGCATTTGAGTCATTATCATATGTTGGGTGAGGTCTCCCGACCATGTTGCCGCTGTGTTCTGTGAAGGTATGAATTTTCAACTGCTGATGAGCCACTGTTTGACTTACAAAGTAATTTGTTACCAAAAAACAGATGATTACCGCCAAGGCCCCAAAATGAACCAGCATCTTGAACACATATGCAACAATACGCGATGTAGACCAGTATTGTTCTGAGGTTAGAGTTCCCTTCACTGTGCCATAGTCATAGGACCATAAGTTGATTGTAGCCTTTCTGCGGCCTAGCACTGGTGAAGCACTGGTGACTATACAGCGCCCGTCAACATCGCGCGTCTGTGGAAAATAATCAGTGCCCATCCCACCCTTTGAATCTGTCACCCACCACTATTGTCTGTACCAAGCCTGTATTGGAGTGGTGAAGAGTCGCGAATACCTTCCCTGATTTCCTCTCGAATGCATACACTGATCCATGGTCGCTCCCCCCGATGACTAATCTTCCTTCTGTCCCAAATGCCACCTGCTTGGGGACGGACACACTTGGAGCAGCAGTCACAAATGTTCAAACTGGTTCCTCGTCACCTTCAAGTCAATATAAAGTAAAACCGTCAGTGGCATTGTCCACTACGAACACACCCCTCTTCTGGTTCACTGCTGCGTGTCCGCTGAAAGAAGGTCAGTAATACATCAGTCGATAATGCACTGTAGACTCTTACATGACCGATTGGCAGCTGTATTCCTTTATCACTGCGCCATCATCAGCTCTCAGCTTGATGAAGTTTCCGTCGTATAGTCCAAAGACATATACACATCCATTATCTGAAAATGCTACGGACTTTGGCATGGTGTTGTCGAGTCTCACCGAAAACACAGCCTGCAGCTGTGAATTCGGGTTGAGAACAAGGACTTGAACTATCTTGTCCCTTGTTCCCACTGTAATCCGCGTATTTGCTTCGGAGAAACGTTGAATCCCACACCATACAGGTAATCTCGAAGCCCGATCCAAGCCTCCTAGCGCAGGCCTCCTGATACTGCATCTATCAGATGTTAGTTGAGGGTTCGACAATAATACCAGGACCCTCTTACATCTATGTGGCTACGACGTAAAAATACAATATAACCCAGCCCAGTTCCATAACAAAGGGTTGCTGCCATGCCCTGTCTTGTTGTGATCCAGACAGCGCAGCTGATCGTACCATGGGACTCATGGTGATGAGTCGAGCATGTAAGTTCTTTCCGAGATTTGATATCCCAGAGTTTAACGCCCTCAGTTCCTGCCTGTCTGTTAGCAGCCTCACATAACAAAGTGCGTGTCAAGTTACCACCGCATGCAAGAGCCTGGCCATCATTAGATATTGCGAGGGCGTGAATGGACCTGCCATAAGTAGAAAGGCGGGTTTGATGTCTGAAGTGTTGCTTTCCTTTTGCCCAGAGTGACGAAGCAAAAAAAGACATTGTTGCGATTTGATTTTAGTTGCCAGTTCACATGCTCACAGCCTACTTATACTAGAAACTTTTTTGTTGATTCTATGGCAATTTCCTAGCCATTTGTTGGTTCCCGACTTGTGTTCGTTCTTTTGTGAGCTCATATTACTTTACGTAACATTTCTGTTATTTCAGGACTTATTTGTTCGATCCCATTAAGCCACTCTTTTGTTGACTGTCTTTATTGTTTATTGGCATTACGTTGAATGGTATAGGTTGGTCATAAATGTCAGAGGTTATTACAGTTCATACCCAATATCTTGACCCGCCCTTGTCATCCCGCTCACATCGCCGTAACCAAAACCACAACATGCCTAACAAAACTCTCACTGTCTCTGCGTTTTATGATCAAGAGCCTGGTGCTCCACCTCCCTTCCCTCCTATGCTCACGGACCAACTTGAACTATTTGACAGTGCTCACCGCTCAACTATGCTCGTTGCTGACGAGATTCTTCCCTCCAAAATCAGTGCTCTTGATCCTCCTCATACACAACTCAAGGACACGGTGGTGCCAGAGTCCAAACTTGCAGCACGGCCATTTAAAATTGACTCCTTGCTATACTCGAAGAAAGTTTCGTTCAAGCATTCACGTTCCAACTCTCGGACACCCATGCCCTTGGAGTCTTTGAGTTCACTAGAGTCGATGTCGGACAGTTGCTCATCAACTTCAAATGAGAGTCTATCAGACAATTCGAAGATACCAAAGCCCCCTGGTGAACCAGGTCGTCCAGGGCGTGGATGATACACACTTAATGAGGCCTTAGACTGGAACCCAAGGGCATATGCTAAGTTCAAGGTGAGTAATGTGCTCTCACACAACATCCTATTTGCTCATTAGCGCCAGAAACTTATGCAAAATCTCATTGAAGAACATCTCAATACGACTAAGTGTGCCTCTTCCCAAGACCATGCACTCCTGAGAGTTGTGTGTGACAAAGTAAGTAGACCACAGATGGCAATTGTCCAAGAATTTATTATTTTTCAGGCTGTCGATGCTTTCCCGGACTTGGAAAGCTATGAGGGCTTTTGGCCGCTAAATGATATGATCATGATGCGTTTGAAATATACATCAGGCCGTGCTAGGCAGAAGAAGGCAAGGATGGTTGTGGGCAAGTCCAAGACCAAGAAAAATACATTGAAAGTATCTAATCTACAGTAGATTCACCTATACCTGTTACGACTTGGATAGTATCTGTTGGCGACGCTCAAACAGAGCATGTGTCGTCAACGGTCGAGGACGTCCTTGGGCTAGCCCAAGGTTAGGGGTCGTACTTGGCGGGTCTTCGGCAAGTACGATTTGATGCCTATGTCCAAATCGGGTAGCTTATGTCACGCGGGTGCGAGATGATAAGCTATATCGGCCTAGGCTTTACGACACCCAAAGGTTAATTGTAAGGATCGTCGTTAATTAGAAGGACAGAAGTCCGACTAGTTAACAGGGGCTTTGCTCGTCAAAGAAGTCAATGAGTAAAGCTCGAGACTATAGGCTTATCCGCGATGAGCAGATAAGAAGATAGAATATAGACTTCTGGCGAGGCAGAAAGGATCACTCTGATGAGAGTAGGAGGTCAAGAACCAAGTAGATTCAAGTTAGGGAATATGGTACATGGTAGCGAGTTTATATAGAGGACAGGAGACATATTAGTGGGTGATAACTCGTACTACCGGGAGAGGCAATCAGTAAAGGGTATAACTATAACAGGAAGGCACGTTCGGTCGAGGTAGAACGTGCTAGATAAGAAAGTGAGTCAAAGATCGAAATGAGAAGTGAAACGCGCAGGGGCACGATTGTGCAGCTGCGGATCTAAGTATAAGTCGCATGTGCGACTGCGCACCGAGTCAGAGATCAAGAAAGGAAACAGGGCAAAGGGGATGCGTCGTGCATCATATCATAGGTTACTGTCCAGACGGTAAGGGCAGGGGGACTGTCCACAGGATCAGTCAGGTGGTGAAACGGAGCATGGGTATGCTTCGTCAGTGAAAGGGTCCGGCCAGATGTACTGGCTTTGCTGAAGCGACAGGTAGAGGGCAAAAGGAAATGTGAGGATGACAAGGATGACAAGGGTAAGGTTGGGGTAAGGGTATGACGCAAGGGCTGATACGAGGAGTATTAGGAGAAAAATGGTAGGGGCCCAAGCGTCTAGATGTTCTTGTAACACCAACTCAGCTGAACACACTTCAGCCAGTCCCATCCCTTAGCAATCATGATGATGATCGTGGCGATGTCACTCACCAGCCTCCATCAGTCATGGCCCCATCCCATCATCCACCTCCCATCAGTCAGATGTACACTCCTTCAACCCTCAATGATTATCAAGGCGATCATACTGTACCGCTGAATCTACCAATCCCATGTGATAGTTCACGTTCAATGCACACAGCTCAGCCAACTCTCAGTACTTTCCTGCCTCTATCAGTCCCATCTGGTCTAGTAGATGATTCAGGTGCCCAAGTACCGATGTTCACGCCCGTTCCAACCTTCCACAACATCCATTAGGGCAATTATATGTCTCCATCAATCTCATCCAGTCTGCATGCAGGTGCCTCAGCACCGATGTGGGCACCTCCTCCTCTGCCACCGACCTGGAGCAACTCGAACTCCTATCAAGGCAATTGGCCTTCAACATTCCCATTTCATCTGCATCCAAGTGCCATGGTGCAAATGCGCGCACCTCCGCCAACCCACAATGATCATAACAGCAGTTTACCTCTACCACATGTCATAGTCCCATCTCAGCATTACCATCCAGGTAATTTGGCAATACTAGCCCTTTCCAATTTTCAGCACACTTTTCCTCCACCAATCGTGTCTATGGATGGTGTATCTTCAGTACCGCCAGCAGCACCGGCTGATGTACAACCCCTCACGATGCTGACGCCTCCCCCCAGGTCTGACATTGGTGAAATATCTCTTAAATGCAAGGTTGACTGGCAATTTATCAAGTGCTTGGGTCAGCGACAAAAAGGGTTCAGAGCCCCCCAGGTAGGTGCTCTCAATTATAAACGAACATGAGAGTGTTCACAGTGAAATAGACAGCGCCTTCTGCAACGCACTCAGGTCCGCTCCCCAGTCACGGTGGCTCTGTGCAGCCACCTTTGCTAGTCTCTAAAACTCATACCCAAATTGATCTGGCATCTGAAGAAGGCACAACATGATGTCCATCTGTTGTCAACCTTCCCCTTCTTGAGTATCAACATGCTCTCCCAATACACAAAGAATTCTTTCTGGTTGCAGAGGAGCGGCTTCTCAGCGATGCAGTCAACAAATGCACAATGATGATGCCTTTGGAGAGGGAGGACTGGATTCAGGTTGCGCTAGCAGATGCAGTTCAAGAATGCTTAGAAAGGGTTCACATTCAGGCTCTTCGGTCTAACTCAGCCAAGTCAGTGAAAGATGAGCTTAAAGGTAAGTCACATCTCGAAGTTGGAGAAAGGGTTGATGTAGGTCAACAGATTTTAGTTGACGGTGGGCGGCAAAAAATGCGGGATCATTGGACACACAGCTCTCAGCACCATTCGACCTTATAATGGAGACTGCTGATGAGGTAGCGTCCATCGTCATTGATCGAGGCTACGATCTATGTCCCTTGCTTTGGTCCAATATATTGGAAGTAAAATCGAGGCAAGGCAAAATTGGAGCCCTCATCAATGACACAATGTGGCCTCTCAAATTCATTTACAAGAAGGATGAGACGACCGGCCAATGGATGGTGTTCGAACACAATGCAATTCTAGATGTGGTTCTTGGCATAGTGTGGAAACTCAAATACCTGCTCAATGTCACTGACCTCCATAACCTGTACTGCACGGCTGTAGCTGCAGTCTACTGCGTGTTATTGCGACTTTCTTCCGGAAAGTTGAATCGTACAATCCTCTTCACAAGCAAAGCTTTCAGATTTATGTATGACATATCGATGAAGCACATTACTGACGTCATCGAGAAGGACAGTGTCTTAGGAAAGCGATGATTAGATGTAAAAAACTATACCTTCAAAAGGCTAATTGATGTAGCATCACTGTGATGATATGCGTAGTACTACCACCTGCTAGAACTACTACTAGTACTCACTACATGAAGAGGTAGTATTATAAGTAGTGCCTCGGATTTATTACCTCGTCTGACCGGTTAGCCTGAGGCCTTCAGGCTTGTAATTACTACTACAGTAACACTACGCAATGATGAGATGCATGATCAGGCTTCTTTGAGCACGTGACTCACTGGCATAATTTGCACGGCATCCTTTGAAAGTCACTGTACGCCGGTCAGCCTGCAAGTCACACTGGCACGGCCGTGGTGGTGAGGCTGGAAGAATGATTCAGATGGCTTTGATAGGCTTGCTAAACACTCATGGTGAGTTTCACCACGACTATGCTGATTTGCAGCATAATCATCATCTTCAACTGGCAGCGAGTCTCAAGCCTGCTCAAGTCACGGTCTGCGGCGGCCACACAAGGCTTGCCAGTGGGCCTGCCAGTAGTAGGTCAATTTTGGACACTGGCTACTGCCGCACTGCAGCTGAACATGTCACTACTTGGTTTATAATTGTGTGTCTATGCCTTAAAGGCTTTTCTCGGTGAGTTTATTACTGTGACCACTAGTAGTACTAGGCGCTCATTCTTCTTGACGTCTGCTCAGGCTTTTCGACATCCGCTTGTTCACTGAGCTCATGTTAGCTCATTCTCATCACTCGCAAATCATCCGACTCATTCTCAAATCTTGATGTTCGCTCATTCTCCATGCTCGCTCGATGTTCACCCATTTTCGACGCCTGCAGCTCTCATTCTCGTTCTCACTTGTCCTCATTTCCATGGTGCGTTTTTTTAAAGCAATTTATATTTTTTACACATGACTCTACATCTTCCAGCTTGTCTCGTCCATCTTCTCATCTTCTTCCCTTCTCCTGCACTCATCCATCATCCGTATTCCTCTGAGCCATGTCAGCAGTTGCTGACATGTGCTGGGCGTTTGCGCATGGTATTCGTGGTGTTGGGAATGGGCGCAGAAGCATGATGGTGGGGCAAATTCGGTAGCCCTCCAACTTGAAGTCATTACAAGGACTATCGGGAGCTGGAGGGCAATTTTTCAGCGAAGAAGGTTCACCCTGGTGATCTCAAGACAGCCGCTGCAAACGAGGCAATGGGTGGTTTGTTCGTCCATCATCTACTATGTTTGCCTGAACCATGCCAGCAGTTGCTGACGTGTGCTGGGTGTTTGCGCATGGTATTTGTGGTGTTGGGAATGGCCGCTGCAGCAGCATGGTGGGGCGAATTTGGTGGTCCCCCAAGTCATTACAACTTGAAGGACTATCAGGAGCTGGAGGACGATTTTTCAGCGAAGAAGGCTCACCCTGGTGATCTCAAGACATCCGCTGTGAACAAGGCGATTGGTGGTTTTATTTTGTTTGCCCATCATCCATGTTTGTCTGAACCATTCTGAGCATAGTAAGCCTAGGCTTTGAGCCCAAGCTGGGCTGGAACATCCGAGTCACTCTACTAAGACTTGAGTTGAGTAGTGTGCATCTGAATTTCTGTGACTGGCACTAGGCATGGACAAGTCAGAGAGCGATTTTCTTTTGTGGCCCGCCGGGCCTCAATCCAGGTCAATTCTAGCATGGGCTCGACTCCTCCGAATCCAATAAATGGCCCAACGCTACAGACACGGCCGCATGACAAAGATAGAAACAGACATATTACATATGCCTTCAGCACATTTTTAACATTTGAAATTATTCACACATGGTTCAACACATAGTAACCCACTCCCTCACATTGGTATGAAACTGCCAAGGAGTTCGTCACAGTCACGTGACAGACGGACAGACGCGTCCTTGGTGTGATTTGAGTAAAACTCAAAATTTCCGACTAATGGCAGAACTATGATGATTGGAGAATGGAGGAGGACAGAATTTTACACTAGGTCAGTTTGCATCGTTTTGTCTCTTTGCAGAAACTGACTTAAAATCATATTTTACAGATATATTTTCAATGTGTTTATTTTCCTCGTGAATTCGAACCTGCTCCGGCGCTTCATTCAACTTGTGGATTGACTGATTTTGGGGCGCGCTTTGTTCACTTGTGTTTGTGAACTTCACCAGACTTTGTGGTTCTGGACAATTACTACTACATTGTTAATCATCTCCATCACCATGACCAAACGATAGACCTTGTAAGTCCAACCACTTTTCCCAGCGATCTAACATTGGATAATCTTTTCAAACAGATATGGCACAAACTCTTTTCTCATCAAGTATCGGCACTCGCAGACGAGCAGGAGATCGCATTGCGGTAAGTATTTGTTAACTCGTTGGCGTTTTTCATTTGCTAACATGATGAAGCGCCAGCGCAATTTCCTCCATGGCGTGATGAGTCCAACAACACCTACCAATAACCTGGGTGTTTCATCGGTCAACCCCCACGTGAACAGCGTGTTCACTACCACAAGACGCGGCCTTACACACTTATGCATTGGCACTCAGGCGACTTTGCGCAATCTCAAGGGTAGTTGTGCGCGTTTCGCCAACCGTATTACCTCGGTCAGAAGCAGGGTATGTCTTTGTCTATACTGAAGGTCGAGCTATCTTAATTTTCACACAGATACTATGAGAGAACAAATCACTGACGCACTGTCTACGACTTAAAGATCTCAAGACTACTACCACTACCTACATGTTCATAATGATTGTACTATACTCATACCAAGCACACAGGAGCCATAGAAACAGCCGCATCACAATTATCATGATTAGTGTACAGTAACTACATCTACCCCTTACATGTATCTCAAATATGTATCAAACACGTTCTGTTATCGACACACGTGACTGATTTTTTTTTTTTTTGCGTTGTCATCGTTTGCTTTTATCCCTTTTCGGACATTCAATACCGCCCTCTGAGTACTATGTCTGACTGGACTCTGCTAGTACCGCTATCAATCCCAGTACTCAAGATCAAACTCTTCATTGCACACACTGTTTCAGGAAAAGGTCAGTCTCCCATCAACAATTGATGTGCGGAGCAGGACAATAAATGTCCCGAGCTGAGTACATCATGATAGCACGATGATGATTGACTTCAACTATGGATCCCACCAACGAGAGCTCCGAGTAGATCGACATATGGGGGATGGTTTGGTGCGTTTCCTTCTCCATGACTTTTCTTTATGACTACATTTCTCCTTAGTTAGCTGCTGCCATACTATCGATCATGCACTGGCACAGTCTTCTAGGAACAGCGAGGATGTTCCCCGCATCCGGATCACCCTCTCAGTACCTTTGCTTCTCCTAGACTTTCTGGCTCACCTGACCCAGAATCTCCCTTTGACGAAAGTGACACGAAGATGTTCCTGGCATATACTATCCATTCATATGAGAGTCTGAGACTCGGAGAGTGTTTCCAATGGTTTTCACAACTTTTTCTAACCTTTATCATTTGTTGCAACAGGTCAGGAGCCCACTGTAAGGACTTTTTATTTCGAGCTTCTCAACACACTGCTCATGTTTTTATTCACAGTGACGGGCTTATTATCGAACCTGTAGCTACTTCATCATCAGCTTATAGTGCTACAACTCTTCCCTCCAAGTCAACACTATCAAGTTCCGATACCAGCCTCCCCGCCACTGACATCAATAAATCATCACACCTACCGTCGTCCAGCAGCAATTTGCACGCCCCCGTGGTAATGCCACCCATGTCATTGGCTACAAACGCAACTTCACTCGCTCTCAAGAAGGAGCTCGTGACGACAGACTCGGAGCTATACAAGTGAGAACCCCCCAAGAAACAACAACCAAGCTCTAAACCAATGTGAGTCACTGCGAATATCACCGCACGGTAAGTCAAGTCTGCCGCTATTGACATGAAAATTTGTAATACTCATGCTGCTCATTCCACAGGAACTTGTGCGCTCTCGACTGGCAACAAAATGGCCAACCAAGCAGGACCCGCGACTAACCTACCACTATCATAGGTGTACAAGCGCAAGGCCACTGCTCGCGTGAGCATTGTGTTTTCTCGTTCTGGATCTCATACTGATACGCACCTTTTCAGCTAAACTCCTCGTCATCTGCTCAAGGTCTTCCTGCCAGTTCGGATTAGTCCATGTGTCTGTGGTCTATGGACCCAAGGTGGATTGCCAGTGAGTGGATGTGAGGAGCGTGGATAGCAGCTCCAGTAGGCGGTATGGTGTGAGCAGGATGGCTGGCAACCCGGACAAGCAGCAGATAGTACCCTACCCTATAGCACCATAATAGCACCCATTCATAGCGATACCCATTGATACTCATTCTATTGCATTAGATGTGTATCCTTCCAGCCAAACAAAATCCTTTTTGATGCATAAATTCATCTAAACCAAGCGAGAATCTCATCTCAACAATTCTTGATCTTTATCTTTTCCATCTTGAAAAGTGCCGGTTTTTTCTAAAGGCTTCTAAATGAGTCAATACATTCTATAGCTTCGACATATATCGATACATATCCTCCCGTTCTTGTCGATTCTCACTTGGCATCACAACTTGCCTGCGGCAGTCACAACTCCGCTACTCTGAGTCACACTACTACTACTAGTTCTTGCGCTAACTAATAATTCTTGTGTCCTATGTTGCTCAGGCTAGCCTGAGAGTGCCACTATGCGCTTTTCTGAAATTGTTTGGACTGGCTTTCTCTTATTCTTTATATTCATGGTGTCTTGTGAGGCTCCAGGTTGCTCTTGGGAAAGGAAGATGGACATTTGAGGACTCACTAGGCATTGCGCGGCTTGTCATTTCTTTAAGAGATCCAGCACCCTTGCAAGTCAGAAGAGACAAGATCGTGCCAAAGAGGCGACTCTTTCGAATCTAATCCCAAACCTTGCGGCGAGCACATCATTGGTGGGTGGTGCCTTTCGAGGTTGCTTCAGACTTCCAATATTATCTTTTCAGAGAATCCCAGCAGTCCGGCATGTGAGGGACCATCCGAATCTGAAATCCATTGCCCCCTGCAAGCTCCTCAGGCCAATGTCCATGGCATATGGGTCATACTGGGCCTCCAACTTTCCCACAGGCACTCAACGCGCCCATGAGTCAGAGAAGGATCATACTCAGGCTGACGTTGAGATAAGGAATGATTCTAGACAAGAGTTGTACCACAGCTCAGGTTTGTGTTTCTTCAATTATTGGCTGAGACGTAGCTCAAACCATCCCAGAGGAAAATGTACCCTTGACGAGATGAATTCCAAGAACTGTCACTGATATCGAGCATTCAGATGGCGATCTTAATCCTTCCGACAAGGCGGCTGACAGTTCAACAGCCCAAAGTTCTCCCTCCCAACCAGCCCGATTCAGAATCCAATGTGTTCTATTAACGCTGAGGGATACACTACAGACCACCTTCAACACGTTTGGACTCTGCAGACTATACCCTCGATGCCCTTCCTTCGAGCCAGATAAATTTCTTCCCTCCACTCTACTTGCAAGAACATCCCCCATAGCTACCAGAACAACAGGCTCCTCGCCGAATGCCTTAGCGCTGCCTTTTCCTTTCGTCAACATGACCATCTATCGGCTCATAACATGGATGAACTCTGGTAGCAGTCGAGTATCTGAAACCAAAGTCTCCCAGTTGGTCAAAGATGTTATACTGGCAGAGGATTTCGACCGCAAGCACCTCGAGGACTTTTCTGTGAGGCGAAGCTTACGAGAATTAGATAAAGAGGAGAACGGGGATGGTGTTTTATTCCCAGATGATTGGATTCGGTCTAGCGTCACCATTAACATCCCAACTAAGTCACGGGAGGATGGTCCTCTACCATATATTATTCCCAGGTTGCACTATTGTCCTCTTATTGGCGTGATATGCGTGGCTTTTGCAGATGTCCAGGCAAGGGCATTCTATCTTATGCCTTTCCAACGGTTGTGGAAAGACCCTTTGGAGGGCCATCAGGAGTGGATCTATGATGAGCTCTATACATTGGATGCCTGGTTGGAAGCTCAGGATAACCTTCAGAAGCTTCCAAAGGAACCTGGTTGTTCGCTGGAGCATGTCGTCGCTGGGCTGATGTTCTTTTCTGACGCCACCCATCTAGCAAACCACCACACCCTGGCAGGAGTATTAATACTACCTGGCCATTGTAGAAGTATAGTTATGCATACTCAGTAGCCATCCCCCATGTTTCTTGTATGCATACTCTGCTGGGGAACCAATGCCCGCCCCTTTCCAGTGCTCCCTGGATCGGAGATCTCCATATTCCTATGTTCTGCGTGCTATTTTAAACCTGCGTATCGAGAGGGAGATCTGACTATACTGCGCCCTGTGCTTCTGCCCTCTGTGTTCCTGGAAGTACTACCTTCTGTGTTCCTGAGTATCATATCCGTACCCTAAAAGGGCAAAAAAAGTGAATCTGACGATAGCAAAACATATCAATATTGCTCCTTTAGATAATAGCGACACAACTGAGATAGCAAAAACATATGCAAAAATGTCCTACGTGGGTGAAATGACTGAAGAGAAAGCAACAAGACCAGGCACGATGCTCCAGATGGAGATGCATTGTGCACGCATTGCTTGAT